AAAGAATCCCACTGTTTAGCCCAGGCTGTCCTAGAACGTGAGGTCTTCATGCCTCTGCTTCCTGAGCGCTCGGGATTACAGGTGTGTACCAGCCTTTGCAGAGCCTTTTAGCCAGTTCTTTTCAGTGACTCAGTTTTCATCTTTTTTTTTTTTCTTTTTCCAGACAGGGTTTCACTATGTAGCCTTGGCTGTCCTAGAACTCACTCTGTAGACTAGACCTACCCCGAACTCACAGAGATCCACCTGCCTCTGCTTCCCGAGTGCTGGGATTAAAGGTGTACACCACCACCATCCAGCGTCAGTTTTCCTCTTAAATGGCTATCCAGAATTCCACTTCATGGCACTTGTATGCTATATGAGATGTTCATGAAATTGTTATACATTGTAATGAGTGCTCTAAGACACATTGTCATTGAATCCTTGAGCCTATATGATTTTTCAAGCTAAGTGGAGAATTCCTAGAGAGCACTTACTAACATGTTCCATACCCTGGGGACCAGGACTTTTCGTAGGGGCACAGATTGCCTACAGTCTCTGATACAGTTTTTCTACAATCAAACAGAAGGATGTGCCAGGTCAGCCTCGGGATTAGGATGCAGGATAATGGGGTGCACCTCTTGGTCTCTCTGTCACCTCCTTTGTTTGCAGAGAAGACACTTGATGGGACCTATGGCTCCTCCATCACTGGTTGAGCGTTTTATGGACACTGTTGATTAGACACAGGCCCGGGAGCAGGGACATGACCACAACAAGCTCGGTAAATGTCCTGATGGTGCTAAACTGTAGCCCTGGCTGCCTGGAGGAGTCCACTGCAAATGCCAGAGACCTCCACATCTCCACTCCGCAAAGGAGAAACAAGTTTGCATCTCTGCGGTACCATTAGATGCCATCCTTGAGATATGATGGCCCCTTAAGTTCCTCATCCACTAGAGATCCTTAGGGAAGAGGAAATGGGAAGGAAGGTGTGATTTTTTTTTTTTATATGTACTCCCATTTTTACCCCCACTGAATTGGGCCTCTCTGCCTTTATCTTAAGTGATATACTCCATGTAGAACACTTTGCATGGTACGTGGCACATGGTAAATAATAAATGTGCATCTGCATTGTCGGGTTCAGTACTGTTGTTAGTGAGCCTCAGTAGGATCCAGTAAGGCAGGTGGCTATGTAAGACAAGAAAACTGAAGGTCACAGTAAGCCATTTCTAATCATCACCCCCACAATCACACCAATGCACATGTATGTTACCAACTTTCACTGGTCTGTGTAAGGGAGAAAACAAGCAAAGCCTCTTGCCATGTGTCTCTAGAGATTTATGGTAGACAGGTAAACTGGAGATGGGACCCTCGGCCTCGAATGTGCTAGATAAGCATTCCACCACTGGGCCCCAGGTGACTGACAATCCTCTCATAAGCCACAAGACACAGGGCGAGCCTGGGTCGCAAGTAGGCAGCATCTGAGTTGGGAAGTCACGGGTATAAACCTAAGTGAATTCCAGTATATATGCCCACAGGTAGCAACAACACAAGATGAGAACCTGGCCATGCTGACTTCAAAGGTTCAAAGCCTGTGTGAAGGAGTAACTGTGATGTTTTGACAGGGCTGGACCCCAGACCTCAACTTCCTGGTAGCCAGGGCTAGGGTGGAATGAATCCAGAATGGGGCTCCCATGCCGAGCGCTGTCCACCACAGTTCAGAGACTGGAGGGCTCCACTTCACACACTGCCCGAGCTGGGGAAGGCTCAGCCAGCCTTCCTTTGCCATTTATGGTGTTCTGTTATAGACTGTGTAGTAAGCACCATATAAGACAGCAATATAAAACAATCTCTGCTTCATTATCCTTCGTGATGCTCTAAGTCCACAGGTCAGGCTGGGCTCTGAGGTTCTGCTCTTTGCCTCCCAACATCTGGGGTCTCAGTTGGGCCATCTTAAATGGTTGCAGATATCAGGACAGCTCAGCTTATGATCTGCCTAGGCCCTGGGGTTCCTCCATGTACTGTGTGCTGAATGGCACCTTAGGTCCTACACCTAGGGGCTAGCCTGGGAAATGTGAGGCGGCTGGACTGATCCGGTCTGGTCCTTATCAGATGGCGCCTTCCCCTGGTTCACTTCAGCATCCAGGCAGAGTGGCCCCAGGGTGGTCAGACTTCACACAGTACTGACTCCCAACGCAAATGCTACCCCAAAGGCCCAGGCAGAGGCTACAAGACTCCTCCCGGTCTTTACCACACTAAAATTGCCTTTACATTACTCACGGCAATTAACATATTAATATAATGAACATCCTTAATGTATAATTAAGTCCTACTACAATATGATTTTCTGTTTTGTCCTAACAGTGTCCAGCTCTCATTAAAAAAACCAATTCTCCTTCTGTTGTACACGGTAGGAATGACACAGAGGAAGGAGGCAGGGTGGCCCTGCAAGAATACATTACAGTATGTCTAGTTGGATTGAGGGTATGGCTCCATGGTAGAGCATCTGCCTGCCCAGGGCCCTGGGTTCCATTGGTGGAGGAGGGGAGAAGAGAGGAGGAAGGAAGGAAGGAAGGAAGGAAGGAAGGAAGGAAGGAAGGAAGGAAGGAAGGAAGGAAGGAAGGAAGTTCCCTGCTGGGTTGTGGTACTCTGAGACAAACTACAGATCTCAGTGCCTAGGGGCCCCTCCCTCACATCCAACATCCATGCTTCCAACATGAAGGCTACAGAAAAGCTAGAAAGGCAACAATATCCAATTCTTCAGCGAATCACAAGAGAACATTCTAAATCGTCCTTTAAAAGAGCAAGACATGGTGGGTGTTGGTGGCGCACGCCTTTAATCCCAGCACTCAGGAGGCAGAGGCAGGCGGATCTCTGTGAGTTCGAGGTCAGCCTGGTCTACAGAGTGAGATCCAGGGCTACACAGAGAAACCCTGTCTTTAAAAAAAAAAAAAAAAAAAAAAAGCAAGACACATGTCAGCACTGAGGAAGCTGAGGCAGGATGAGTGCCACATGTTCAAGGCCAGCTGGGGGCTGGGCTGGTCTCCCAGTCACTCATTTAAAAGGAAAGGGCAAAACATCTGTTTATCATGCAGAAGCTTTCCGCTTTTCCCATAGTAACCCGCAGTGACCATGTGAAGGTCTCAGCGCTCAGACAGCAGCCTTGGCTTCCCTGGGAAGGTGCTTACCCAGCTCTCACTTTCAGGAACTTGCCCGAGGCTGGTGGTGAAGGAGTTTGCACTCTTAAGCTCACTGCACCCACGCGCTTGCTTAGATTCTCACCAGACCCCCAGACGCGAGTGTCTGCCACACGCACAGACACCAGACACTTTTCCGCAGAAAGAGTTAGCGAGACCAAGAACGGCCATGTCCTCCTGACAACAAGGAAGTCAGAAGCCCCTTTCGTCCTCCTCCGCGAACCCCGCCGACAGTGACTTGTGACGCGTGCGCGGTGTGTGCGGAGTGTGGGCGGGGGAAAGGGCTCAGCCCTCTTGGTGCAGTGATGGTCAGAGCTGCCTCCCAGTCCTCCTCCACTGTCATTTGCTGGTGTGTTGCTAATTTACTTGTCTGACTCATCCGTGGAGGCAAACATGGCTTGGTGCTCTGTACTTCGGGGAAATGTGGGGCCTGGCTGTGCAAGGGACAGGATCTCGGCATCACATGTCCGTCTGATAGGAAGCTCAGCGATTGACCCATCCTCCGTCAAACCAGCTCTCGAGATCATAGGCATTGCTCCCACTTGGTTCAAAGACCATGGCTTTGACCTAAAATCCGGTTGATCTAGAATTGGTGGATCTCTTCCCCATCATGGCCTTGGAAGGCCATCACATGTCCTCCATCCTCACTGCGTACTGAGGACAACAGTAGTCCCTAACACTTCTCCCAGCAGCATGCTGGGAAGGCGTGGAGAGCATAAGAACGGCAGGACATAGTGTGCTTTTAGCAGGAGCGGAGTGCTACCTGCAGATTTGAAAAGCCATAAACCAACGCAGTAGTGACAGTCACAGAACGAAGACCTTGAGAAAGACGGTGGCTGCTCTCAGCTGATGCGGCCGCACCGAGAACATTCTCGGGCTCCGGGGTGTGGCTCAACACAGAGCATTCGCTAAGCCTGTATGAGGCCACAGGTTCAATCCCCGGGCACGTTCTGTGTGGACCCCACTTCTATGATGCATTCTGACCTCGGAATGTTGGGGCTCCGATCCCTCCTTTGAGTGGCTAATGTCAACGTTGTCCCTGTGAGAGAAGGTCAGGGGGAAGCTTCACGTGGGAGAGGAAGCAGAAACCGAAAGTCAGGATGTGAAGAAGGGCAGAAGCCATCCTGAGAGAACTGGTCTGAGAAAAGAACGTACCTCCCAGGAGAAATTTGGTGTGGCAAAAATCTCCTGTCTCTTGGTGACTTGATGATAAAATATAGAGAGTGAACCCACGGGGAGTGCAAAGAAAACTTAAGAACTAGACAGATAATTGGCTCCATTTGAACAATGTTTGCATGCTCACTGCTTGCTGAAGCCGTGAGACTCCACACCAGCATGACTAACGCCTCTCCCCCGGCCTAAATTAGATTTTGATTGTGTTTCGTATATATTCACTGAATCACAGATGTTTGAGGTAAAAAAGACCCAAACGTCTCGGGAACACCTCCCAGGGAGCGTGTGGGATCATCTGCGCAGGCGTGACACCACTACTAACCCCGGGGAGCCCAGAAGCCGCCCCCAAGGATGCTGCCCACCTGGAGAGCACCAGGGCTGGGGGGGGGGCTGCATGAGGACTCTGTGTATAGGGGGTTCATGGAGGGGGCCCCCGCAGTGTGGCTCCATGCTGGATGCCGCCTCCATGACTAGTGCCCAGAGTGTCCTGTTCTCAGAGGCGTTCCCTGAGCTGCTGGAGCTTCAGGTGGGGAGAGCGTTGAGGGTCCACACCAGCTCCCCGTCCTACACGCGGCTCCTCGGCCGCCCATTCCTTCCGATCCACTATGTGCGCTGCCAGTGGTAAATGTTTCGTTTGTCTGCTTGTTTCTCTTGCAGAATTTAGCCTATGAAATCATCCTAACACTGGGACAGGCATTCGAGGTCGCTTACCAGCTAGCGCTACAAGCCAGGAAAGGGGGCCACTCCTCCACGCTTCCAGAAAGCTTTGAAAACAAGCCCTCCAAACCCATCCCCAAGCCCCGCGTTAGCATCCGCAAGTCAGTGGTAAGTAGAAGAGAAAGGCGTCTCTAAGTCTGCATCAGGAGGGAAGGGGGTTGTCAACAGGGCCCGGTGCGTGGTGGGGGAGGCCTTTGGAATCCAGCCTGCCCTCCCCTCCCCTCCCCTCCTGTCCTTTCCATTGGTCCCCTGCTGGCCTGTGACCATCATCCTTCTCCTGGTTCCTGCAGTCTCAGAGAACCCCTCTGCCCAACCTGAAGGTACCAGAAAAAAAAAAAATTCCATTTTCACTGCCACCTGCAGCAGCCTCATGAGGGCAGGCTACTGGCTGTTGGTGACATGTCTTACCAGAAGGTCTAGAAAATTCTGGGGGCAGCTTTCTCCGAGGCCTCCCCTGCCATCCTATAGGGCCAGGCCTCTGCCCTCCAGAGAGATTTGCAGAGGCTCCAGGTGAGGATGCTCTGGTACCCTCCTGGCAAAAGCCAGATAGACGCCACAGGTTCCGTGTCTTTCAGGAGGCCAGGGCATCATCTCTGAGATGCCTGGGCCACATCCTGTGTGCCTTCCCTCTGGACAGCTGATGCTCTCTGCAGCCTAGTCACTGCTAGAAGGTGACACCCCCTCCTCCTTATCATCTGCCTCCCTCCAGGAACTTCCTCCCTTCCCTCCCTCCCACAGGCTCTGCAGACATCCTGTCCCAACAGGCTGGTATGACTTCAAAGCGGCCGCCTCTGGTAGTAGCAACACCCCAAAGCTGGAAGGCTCCCAGCCAGCTTCCCATCTGCTCTCTGCTCCAGCTACCATCCTGCATCCTAGACTCTCTGGGATTGGCACCGGGCAGGCCCCCAGAACGCATGCCCCCTCACCTCACCCTGCAATCTTTCCATCTGCCACATTCTCCTCCCAGCAGCTCTCAGCCTCCGTGTCATGAGGACATAGACATTTTTAACCTCCAAAGAGAGGTTCCTTCCTGGGTGACGATTGCGGCTCCTGGTTTACACCTTTGCCCGCCCCCTCTCTCTCTCATCTCTGCTCTTGGTAACTTGCACACCCACGGGGATGACCCCTCAGCATCTGACCTCTTCGTCATCCCCGACACTTTCCTCCTACATCCCAGAAGGGAGCTTCTCCTCAGCTGACTGGTCATCACCAGTGACTGTACCTCTCAAATCCCACACTACACGCCTACTCTACTCCTGACCTCCCCGCCTGCCTCAGCACCACCCCAGCCCATGCGCCCGCCCGGCTCTCTATCTCCAGGCCCGACACACCCCAAACTTGCAAGTGCCTGCTCGGTCTGTTTTTAAGCATCCCCACCAAACACAAATCCTTCCTTCCTTCTCTCCTCCCTCTTCTGGGCTCAGTAAACAGCACAGCTCTTCGCCATACTGCTTGAACCCAAACCCACAAGTCAGTCACCTTGACTCCTCTTGTGTCCACACTTCTGCATTCAGCCCATGAGCAGAGTCCGCTCTTTGCTCCCCCAGAACATGCCTCCCATCTGCCCGCTCCTCTCCACTTCCCCCATCACCCCCCTCATCCAAATCCAAGCCCAATGACACCCCCCCAGGCACTCCCTTTCTCCACACAGTAGAGATCATGGCACCCAGGAAATACCAAAACCTCATTTCTCACCACACTCTGTGATGCCCAGGTCTGCTCAGTCCTACTTGTCTGGATGCCAGCTGCCCCCTGGCATGCTCTCTCCCACCTCTCCTGACTCCTGATGTGCATGGCCCACTCCCTGGTATCATTCAGGTCTCAGCTGCATGAAGAAGCTTCCCCTGACTAAAATAGATGCCTGGTCACACTGTAGCCCCCACACTGTTCATTGTCTATAGTAGTTACTGAGGTTTTTTTTCACTTACCACTTATGCCTGCCTCTCTTCCTCTACAAAAACATCTGCTTCATGAAGTACACTGGCATGCTGTCCCCCCAGGGCCAGGTCTACAGCAGGCACTTAGCACACATCTGTTCTTAAAAGAAATGAGGTCCCGAGGGTGGATTTAACGACTGTGTCTTTGAGTCTGATCAGGTTTCTGGGTGTCCGGGAATGCACAGCATGTTTGGGGGATTGTCACTTAAGCTACTATATTCCTTCTCATGTGGGCTGGGTAAGTCTGTTCACTGCGGGCGCCTCCATGCAGCTTTCCTGTGGTCCACGTAGACTTCTTCCAGAAGAGCACAAAGCGTTTGTTGCCATAAGGGCTCATAGAATATTCATCTAAGACGCCCTCTCTGGGAAACAGGAAAATACACAGTGAATAATGCTAATGTCTTCACCTGGCTCAGGATCCAGTCCCTCACCAGGCTCCGATATTCCCATTTCTGGTGGTTTACTGTTAGGAAACAGTGCTCCTGAGACTGTGAAGACCTTCCCTCCGCCTATGGGGACACAGTGGAAACCCAGCAGAAGGCAGCCCTGATAGGCACATAGGCACAGACCCTGCAGCCTCTAGCAGGCTTGTAGAGAAAGTCTGAACGTGCCTTCCAGAAATTCCTTGGCCCAATTTACAGAGCAAAGTAGACAGCCAAAGGATGAGAAAGCTATTAGAGCTCACACTAGCTACTGCCCAGGGAATGGCCTGCTTGGCTTTTCGCAAAGCACAGAGACAGGTGAGGCCAAGGCCCAACCTCACAGGCCCTTGATGACCTCTTCCCTTCCTCTGCCTCCCGATCTCCTGTCCATCTCTCCCTGGGATCTGTACCTGCCTTCTGTCCACCCCAGTACCTCTTCTCATCCTGGAAGCCGCTTGCTCATTGTCTTAACAGTATTTATTGCCCAAGTATTTATTATATGCCTGCTTGGCATTGGGCTGCCAGGAGTCCCCCCCCCGGGGGGGGGGGTTGGAGAAAACAGCAATCAAGAAAGCATAAAACCCCACCTTTATGGGCGTGCATTACGGAGAGGGAGTAGGCATTAAGTCTGCTGGCGTATGTGTCAGTAAGAGAGCAGAAGGGGGAAGCAGAAAAGTTGAGGTGCCGTTTTTTTGTAGAGGGTGTGGCAGGTACAGCTTCTAGGAGAGGAAGAGGCATTGGAGCCAAGACCTGGACCACCCTGGCTAGGAAGGCGCCAACAGGGAGAGAGGAGAGGCCTTGCGCAATGATGGGTGCCCGAGGACCAGCTTCGGGGGGGCGGCATGGCAGAAAGGCGGCAGGCAGGCCAGCGGGTGGGCACCGCAGGCCCCTCGTGAGGCTTTAGGGTTCTTTCGGACCCCGATGGAGGGTGGGGACCGCCGCTGCTCCCCTGCCTGAGCCCCGGGGGCGGGGCCGGGGTCTCACTCGCGTCACCCTTGCAGGCCCCTGCAGAGTCGCTGTGCAGTGCAGGTGCGAAAGCGCGAACGCCGCCGCCGCCGGGTCCGCCCCGCAGCAGCGCGGCGGGGCGCGCGGGGCCCGAGGTGGGGTTCCCGCGGCGCCCCCGCGGCCGCGCCGCCGCCCAGCTGCCGGATAACGGGCATCAGCCTTTCTGTTTTAAAGCAGATCGACCCTTCTGAGCAAAAGACTCTGGCCAATCTGCCGTGGATTGTGGAGCCGGGGCAAGAAGCCAAGAGGGGCATTAATACCAAGTATGAAACCACGATTTTCTGATACTGCCCGCCGCCCCGAGTCCTTCGCGGTGCCTAGCTCGCCAAGCAGTCCTCGCAGCAGGCTTTCCTTCGCGCCTCCTCCTCCGTGTCCACCCGCCCCGGGAGGAAGACTGCTCAGCTCGCTCGCGTGGCCTCGTCACGGGCGGAAGGGAGCTTTCTGCCAGCGAGACTTTGCCGCCCCTAGAGGCGCGGGGTGGGGCGGCTACGCGGGGCGCCCCAACTCCGCCGCCACCGCCTCCTTCCGAGGTACTGCTCAACTGCCCCGTTCTTGCTTTGCTTTAGTTGGGGGAGAAATACCTTTTCTTAAAAGAAAGCGAAAAGGGGGGGGGGTCTCCAGTACTGCCTCCAAGTCTAAAGCATCTTGGGTTTCAGATTTTTTTTTTTCCACCGTCAGCCGGTTTGGAAGGAAAGTCAGAACAGTACTAGCCGCCCCCACCCAGACCCCGACCCCCAAAAGCACCTGTAAAATCATTGTGATCACTGAGTACAGTTTCATGCAAAGAGACAAAGCAACCCTCACGATTGCCAGGAAATTCTGTCTCCCGATTTCTATATTTGTGGATTTTATATGTATAATCAACTATGTCAGATAAAGGAAACCTTTATTGAATGATTCAAAAATTTAAAAGTGATTTAAAACAGAGGAATTTATTATGCACAGAAAAAAAAATGTGTCTTGTATTAAATATTTTTATTAAAAGGATGTTTCATTAATGCATTCACAAGAACACTATGTTTGTTGTGCGGGATGTCTCTGGTGTCGAGGGACTCCATCTCTACTGTTTTGGCTCGAGGACTGGCCCAGGTGTGGCCAAACTCTGAGGCCGTCCCTGGAGCAGGGAATCGGACTTGCGCTGGGGTGACCCCCAGTGCCCATGCAGCCGTAGCCCGCACAAGTGGTTTATAGGGATTTTTTTGGGTTTTTTTGTTTTAACCTTCGAAGTGTTTTAATGAACATGTTTAACAAAAAAATATAATCTAGGGCTTCTGCTGTCAAGATTTCTGTCATGGAAACCTTGTTTGAGAATGGTGTTAATAAAATTCTATTGCAAAATTTTTTTCTAGAAAAAAAAATAAATAACACAAAAAAAGAAGAAATTCCAAAGTAATAAAGACTTTTCTTGAAACAGATTAAAAAAAATGTTTGCTTACGATTTGATTAAATAAATTTACTTACGTTTCTTTAAGGTATTTTAATTTTTTTAATGTCTCTGTGGAGTATTTGTATGATACCATAATGTATATTTCTGTAGAATCAAATTATATAAACAGTACCAATATCATTATAGAAAAATAACATTTTAATGTATATTGTTCTAACCGATCATATTGTGAATCATTTTGAAGTTCATTATAGCGATACTGATAAATTGTGAACTTGTCTTAATGTTTTTTTTTATTAACCAATATTATTTTAAACCTGAGATTATCATATTCATCAGTTGGTGAGTTTTGAAGAAAAACTAAATTTCATTTCAACTGACAAATGTATATGGTTTTAGTTCAGTGTTGGAGAATTTTAATACAATATTAAATTACTTGAACTGAATAGTTCCTTGTATATATTTTGCCTATTCACTGTTGATATGTATGTAGTAAACGGAGAGGAAAATAACACTAAAATATGGTACCAAAAGGAACTTGTATAGGAACGCAGTAGCCGGTGGCTTTGCCGAGACACACGCATATGTGTAAATAAGCTTGGGCTTCCAGTTATAAATTTTGTAATTTTTGTCATTATTTATATCCTATTAAAAAAAAAGCACACAAAATAAAACAGAAGTTGTACAGTGACTGGTGCTTGGCATCGTTCTGTGAGCACCTCCCTACAGCATCCACAGATAAAGAGGTTTTTTTTTTTTTTTTCCAATTGGCAACATCACCAAGAAAAACTTGCTCATTTCCAAGTTTGCACAGTCTGAAAAAGAAACACTATCTTCTGGGGCTTGAATTTCAGCCATAAGCCACCATTTAAAGCGGTATATATGGGGAGATTGGTAAGACAGACGTTTCTAAAACAGGGGACCACACACACACACACACACACACACACACACACACACACACACACACACACGAGTGGACTGCTTATATAGCACAACATACCTAGCTTGCTTAGGAAAGCATCCACTATACATCCTATACATCCACAAGGCCTTTTTCTTTTTTCCTAAAACGTGTGTGCCTGCTGTAAAGTGGGTGATGGGCCAATCAGAGCCACACTGATCCCATGGTCAGTGACCACCATGTTGCATGTCCCTGGACCTTCAGATCACCCACTCACTGCCCAATCCATGACTGCTACCCTTGGAAACCCAAAGCAGTCCTTGGATGTTCTCTGCCCATCATACAGAGGCCTGGAGCCTTGAACCCTGAGCTAAACCAGGGCAAGCCGGGCTGAACTGGGCCCTGGGACACTTCTCTCCTGAAGGAGGCTGTAGGCTGGGGGCTTCCACTGGTGTGCCCACTGGGTTAGTTTGCTCCTTTATCACTTTTTATTAATTTTCTCCAGTCCTCTTATAGATATCATCTCTGTTCATCACATGCATATTTTTATCCATAATGATCCCAGCATGAAGTACATGGCACACTCCAATGGGGAGAAATTAAAAGATAAATACTTGCCTAGTGGGGGGATGGGACAGTCTCCTTGTGCTGGTACCACTTGAGGGGGCAATAAGGACCGAGAGAAAGCTATGTGGCAGGGTTAGCCCTTCCAGTTGGGGGACACACGGTTGTAGTGACCCTCAGAGAGGAAGGCAGAGGTGACCCTGGTCTCCCTCTCCACCCTTCACCCTCCCACTTCGTAACAAACCTACCAAAGGTCAGGATACGAGAGCAGCCCATGGCCAGAGCAGGGCAGGGAATGAAAGGAACATGCCCAGAGCAGAAAAGCCAGCTCAGGCATGGGAGATGGGATTCATAGCTGATTTTAAAAAAAAAAAAAAAAAAAAAAAAAAAAAACCTGATGTTTGATAAATTCAGTAACCAGAAGATAAAAGTGGCAGCCCTTAAATGCTAACATTAATCAAAAGAGAACTTAAATGTCCCCTTTACAGAAAGACTTGAAGTCAATTGATCCATTTAATTTTTTCTTATTAAATGGTGTTCTGTAATAAATCTGAATGAATGAACCATATGAAAATTATGCTCGGCCTGTTAGTAAGTCGTCAAAGTGGTTTTCCTCAAGTTGGACTGCTTGGGCATGTCACCAGCTTCTCTGATGTTCAGATAAAATGGAAAAGAAGTTTAAGCTTAAAGGACATGTGGCCACACTCTCAAAAATCAGTAAAAATTTGCACTTGGACTCCAAGTAACGTCACTCCCATTTCTAAGAAGAATTGAAAATTTGAGGAGTCCTCTAGCTTCCAGTGAGCTAGGGTCTGTGTTCAGAAATATATATGGAATAAAACCTCTTTACTGACATTACATCTTCAAGTTCTCTTTGTCTACTGGCCGTTCAATGAGTACATTTCCTATGAAAAGCAATATGATGGTTATAAACATTGTCTTGAACAGAAACAGTGACCAACCAACATAGATCAGCAGCCTCTCTTCAGCCAGCTTCTGCCAGTCCACCTACAGCCCTGGTCCCCACAAGACCACTTGACCTCATCAGCATTTACTAGGGTTGGCTCTAGGAACAGAGCCCTGCTTCCCAGAGAAACCAATCCCCAAGCAGAGCAGGACCTGTGTACAGGGGTTGGACCTGTTGCCCGGTCACCATCCTGCATTTCTCTGTACCCACAGAAGGACTTGATTTAACTTTCCTGGCTTTGGTCAATCTATCAACTGAGAATTGACACCATTTCTCTTCTACCTGCTTCTGTAAATCATTCCAGACCCGACACGTTGCCCTCAGTGTGTAACTCAGAGGCTCATAGCTATATACTATTGTCAAAACCACTTTTTTCTCTTTCTTCTCCAAGCCCCCAGAGACCTGTGTTTATAAAAGATGTCCAAGCCTTGGAACTTTCTAGGAGTGGGTCATGATGGAGGCAAGGGGCGGGGATGAGGGGATCAGAGGGGAGTAACAGGCTGAATAGTCCATGCTGCTGGCCTCAGTAGGGTCACCAGGCCGTCTGCTTCAGGGTCTTCACAAGGGGCCCGACGTGATTCAACCAAGTAGAGAACGGTGGAATCGGGTGATAGACCCCGGCTGCACCTGCTGGGCAGGGTCCCCAGAGTTCACCATTCAGAAAATCTCTGCGTGGCCCTACTGACCTAGTGGAAGAGCGGAGACCAGTCAGGCTTGCAACCAAAGTTAACTCATGGGGTGGTAAT